GAGGGAAGCCAGTTTCTCCCTCTCCCATTCCCCCTGTTTATGTTCCCTCTCTCGCTGTCTCTCTCTCTGTGTCAATTAAATAAATAAATAAAATCTTTTTAAAAAATAAAAAAAAAAGAATCTCTTCTCAAAGTTTTCCTTGGGTTAGTACCTAGTCATATTACCTTTCAGAGGCTTCCAGGAGCAACACACCTAATTGAAAGAGGAACAAGCTTGTTGGCGGGTCTATTCTCACCCTCCTCCAAATTAAGGAGAGCACCAACTTTCTCAGCGTCACTCTAAAACAGCAGAGTCCCATGGTGGGTGGGTCTCATGGAAAGAAACCTCAAATAAGAGGCAACTGTGTGTTCAGCCCCGTCTCAGCAACTGTATGCATGGGATCTAATTTAATTCTCACTGTATTCCTGGGGGGAGGTGCTATTCCCCTGTGCCAGAGGAGGAAATGGAAGTGGAAAGTCTGAGAACTTAGCAGGGCCACCCCGCTGCTGGGTGGAGGAATTGGGATCGTAAACAGTGTGCTTGCTCCGAAACTGCTATCTTTCTACCCTCCTGCACCATGAGCTCAGCTGTGTTCTCTACCTGCAGGCAGCCTGACAAGTTTCAGGTTAGCCTGGGGCTCCCAGGATTTCCAACTGGCTAGGGAATGCGCAGGTTTTTTTGAGTTGGCCGTCCATCATTTATATATGCAATATAATACATAAAATATAATGTACTATAATATTATATATGATATTCTATACCATACGTTATACATACAGATCTATAAAATGTAATATAAATGAATATGTGATATGTTATATATATACAATTATAAACATAGTTAATTTTGTACTTAATGAATACTACCAAGTAAATATAGATACACATTATTAAATTAATTTAACACTCAGTTTTAATTTCTAAAGCAGTTAATATGCCTATAAGTGTAACCATCATTAACGAAATTTGGGGGGCCTTACTGACTTTTAGGAGTGTAAAGGGGTCCTGAAATCTAGAAGTTTGAGATCCACTGCTCTAGGCTGAACTCTGATGTCTTATTTTCCCAACTGAGTTGGTAAGGACTTGCAGGCAAAGGTGTAACCAGCACATGAACATTTTAATTTTTTTATTCTTCTGTTCTCTCCGTGGTTTGGGTCTTTCCGATCAGACTTACAATCTTCTTTAGGCTGCAAATCTCCGGAAGCTCTTTCCTGCATATTTTTTCTCAGGCTGCCCTTTATCAACCACCTCACAGTGGACCAAAGTACTAGCCATTTACACTCGAGCAGGCAGCGCAGTGGAGGGGCTGCGATTATTAGCCTCATCCACTGGTGAGTCAGGAAGAAGCAGGTTTTAATCGCTCCCAGTGGGGGCCTGTAACAGGGTTCACAAATATCAGGTCAGCCACCTTCAGAAGCAGACAGAACCCTCTTCTGGCATGGTAAAAGGAGGATCCCTACACCTGCTCCAGCAGCTCCTCTCACTGTCCTTGTGTATTTCTTGCTGTTCAAGTCTCTCTCCCCCACACGCTCTGTCCAGTGGCCATTATAGCCTTTTGGACATGACATTCGGCTCTGCATATTTAATTGTGTTCACCAGCTTTCCAGACCTGAAGAAGATGAAAGAAAATTAGCCAATTCATAATATTCAGAATGTGTGTAAATACAAAAATACACAATTTATTGCATTGCAATGTTTGTGTCCTCAGCTTATTGTTGGCTACCTTGAGGCCACCAATTTTGAGTGGGAAGACCACACCCTTGACCTGAATTTTCCCTTGGAACTAATTTTAATAGGCTTTCTGTTGCTCACAGGCTTGTTCAATCTTATTTCAAAGCCTGAGACTCCATGACACACTTACCAGATCTAAAGTTACTTTAAAGTCGACAGCCAAAGAGTTTTGTGTCTTCTGATTTTTAGAATGGTTTCTAAAGATTCTGATTTGGAGCACTTAGAACAAACCAACTAACCAGGTGTCGAGGTATAATCTTCAAGAAGTTAAAAATACGCATCTCTTGCAAGTACTGTTTACAGCAGGCTCAAGCATGGGACAAAGAATGATATAAGTCATTAGAGAGGTTGCAAGCAGGATGACCAAGTTAGGTCAAGGCAGGATACAGGAGAATGAAATACGTGTTCAGTCCGGAAAAGAAAAAATGCTGAAAGGCTGAATAACTGGTAGTTTTTCAGATACAAAACTGGTTAAAGTTCTATGAGGCAATGCAATCATCACTTTTAGGGTTATCTTTTCTGCTGGAAAGAGTTCATTTGCCTCTCGACTGGACAAAACCCTGATTAGAGTGTCAATCTTCTACAAGTGAATGTCTAATTTCACATACTCTGGACCTAATCAAAGAGTAAATACGAGGTCAGTTACCTTCTCAAAAGCTGGGCCATCTAGAACGGTAAGCAGTAGTCACCTGTGGCCGGTGAGCACCTGTAAGGTGGCTAGTCTGAAATGGAATGTTCTACGAATGTAAAATACACTCGATTTGGCAGACTTGCCATTTGGGAAAAAAAAAAAGGAATATAACTATCTAATTTTTTTTAGATTTTGATTACATGTTGAAATGGTCATAGTTTGGACAGATTGAAGTAGAATATATTATTAAAATTAAATTCACCTGTTTCTTTTTACTTTTGTCAATGGGACTACTAGAAAACTTAGAATTACACATGTGACTCACATTCTATTTTATTGTAGAGCATTGACTTAGAGCATCAAATGACCCACAGATGAACTTATACAATTTCCTAATACAGCTTGGAAGCACACAAAGAAATAGTTTCCCCTTGTTTTTAAGTTTTGGATACCTTTTCTCAACACAAGTTACAAGGATCTGGAGACGGGTTACTTGTTTCTTTGCCTTCTGGGCTATACCATGCGGCCAGGAGGTTGGGAGCAAGACTGAGCGGCAGGTGTCCTAATGACTTGAGATCTGGACATCAGATTTGCATGTGGGGAGATGTGTTTTGATTGATTCAACCTGAGTGATCATATTAGAGAACTGAATCACAGTAATCAAATTTACATGTTGCTGTTTTATAAATCAGGACACCAGTTTATAGTGAAGGGAAGTCCAGTGACCTGGTAATCAAGACTTTCCACTGTTATTTTCCTGGTGGTAAAGCATGCTTAACTGAATTTCAGATGCCTGTGGGGGTGGGGCGGGGGGGGGGTCTCATTGTACAGAGAATCAGAGCGAAGTGCCATGTTCTTATTTTGTTTTGTTATTTTGTTACCAAAGTACATTAGTATGATAAAAGTGCTGTAGTTGTTCCAAGACTTTCAATAACTTCTTACAATTCCTATACCCAAAGTCACAGTGAGGTATGGCAGGTCTAAAGTAGTTTTCTACGGCTGCTCATTCATCCATCACTAATCTTATTAGGCTGTTAATTCCCAGAGGACATGATCAGTACTAGACACAATTTCCAAATGTTGAACAAATGTTGTTCAATAAAACCACGGAGTCATCCTTAGTCCAAAAGATGCCTGATTTTTTATTCATCACCGAACTTAAGTTGTACAACTTGATCACAATCTAAGGCGGGTCTCTTTAATACATATTTTCATGTCACTGTATATTTGAATGGGAATTTCTGGTAAGTTGTAATACTTCCTTTGTCCCTAAATATAAATATACAATTATATTAAATACATGAGTAGTAAGTTTATTCAGCTTTTTCTCTTAAGAAAGTATTGTGACTGCTGGCAACCAAAGGCTGAAATATGAAGTAACAAACCTTAAAGAAGTAAAGCAAACTTGAGAACCGAATATGGAAGACCGGCTTTAGAGGGGACGAGAAGAGGTGTTCTTATCAACAACAAAAAAATGGTGTAATAATTTATATGTTCCAGTACTTTTCCTCTATTTCTATTTAAAATTTTGCCATCTACGTTGCTCAACTTCAAATATATAGTTCATCTGATAAAATTGTATCACATTAAAGTCAGCTGCTTTACTTCCATCCAGATCTTTGAATTCCCAGTTAGAGAGTGTCCTTCTACAGCATAACATGTGTTAGATATTATTACGAGAAGTAACCTAGAATTTTCATGTGCTGAAATTCATCCCTTTACTGGAGCATATGAAAATAAATAAATAAATGCTTGTTTTCTTTGAAAACAGGTCATCTCAATATCTATAGCTGCCAAGTCTATTGAGGATTTTTTTTTTTTTGCAGGCTTAGGGGGTCTCCCTTCTTCCCTCATTATCCCTATTCTTGAGGGTCAGACCCCCTGCCTTGCACAACCCAGAGGGGAACCTGAGACCTTTTTAAAAACTGCCCAATTTCTCGTCTTTGGAGAAGTGAAGAGTGCCCCGCCCCCATCTGTGAAAAGCCGGATTTGATAAAGAATTTCAGTGTCTTCAAGTCTAAGATTTAAGTCTCTAACCCCCCACGATCCAGGACACCCCCCAAGGCTTCTGGACCCCCTTTCATCCAACCCTAACGGCTTTGGACTGGCCCGGGGAATCCTTGTCCCAGTCCACGGTTCCTGTGGGTCTGGGCGCAGAATTCACAGAGGACCTGTGTTACTTCCCTTGCGAAGAAACAGAATTATCGTGAAAACTGGGGTGGAAACCATTTCGTTTTTGTCTCCCTGAGAAGGGAAGCATGTGCCCAACCACCCCTGAGAAAAAGAACTTTCAGGGGCAAAGGAGCGAACAGGTAATTTAGAAGAAAAACAGAAAGTGGTCTCTGGCCATCCTGGACTTCCCTCGGAGTTGGGGGAGTTGGGGGCGCCTGGACGCGTTGTCTTTGGGCTTGCGGAAAAAATAAACGGCGAGCACGAAGCCTGAGGCTTCTCGGATCCTTTCCCGACCAAAGCCGGGAGATTTGGTGCGGGGCATTTTCACATTTTCCCACTTTTGTGAAGTCGAACAAACACAACTTGGGCGCACGGCGGCGGCTCGGAGCCTGCCAGCCAGGCGGGCGAGCGGAGCACCAATCAGCGCGCGCCTGCGCTCTATATATACGGCGGCCCGGCCGCGGCGCACCCACGGCGCTCTGCCACTTGTACCCAGTCCCAGAGCCTCAGCATGTCGGAGACCGCTCCCGCCGCTCCCGCCGCCGCCCCCCCGGTGGAGAAGGCCCCGGTGAAGAAGAAGGCAGCCAAAAAGCCTGCCGGGGCGCGCCGCAAGGCGTCCGGGCCCCCGGTGTCCGAGCTCATCACCAAGGCCGTCGCCGCCTCCAAGGAGCGCAACGGCGTGTCCCTGGCCGCGCTCAAGAAGGCGCTCGCGGCCGCCGGCTACGACGTGGAGAAGAACAACAGCCGCATCAAGCTGGGCCTCAAGAGCCTGGTGAGCAAGGGCACCCTGGTGCAGACCAAGGGCACCGGCGCCTCGGGCTCCTTCAAGTTCAACAAGAAGGCGGCTTCCGGGGAAGCCAAGCCCAAAGCCAAGAAGGCGGGCGCGGCCAAGCCCAAGAGGGCCTCCGGGGCGGCCAAGAAACCCAAGAAGGCCGCGGGGGCGAGCACCCCCAAGAAGAGCGCCAAGAAGACCCCCAAGAAGGCCAAGAAGCCCGCGGCGGCGGCTGTCGCCAAGAAAGTGGCCAAGAGTCCGAAGAAGGCGAAGGCTGCCAAGCCCAAGAAGGCCGCCAAGAGCGCAGCTAAGGCTGTGAAGCCCAAGACTGCCAAGCCCAAGGTTGCCAAGCCCAAGAAGGCTGCACCCAAAAAGAAGTAGGTTGTTGAACGTCTGCTTCTAAAACCCAAAAAGGCTCTTTTCAGAGCCACCACTATCTCCGAGAAGGAGCTGAACATTCTTTCCTCATCCTATGCCTTTTACCTCCTTAACCTCTAGCTCTAGAACAGGGTCGGGGGTGTGGTTGGCCACTTCGGGCTTACACCGACCGGAAAGGGGCGGAGGGGATCTCTGCGCCGCCGTGGGGCGCGTCCCCCGCCCTGCGGTGCCCCCGGGTGGCCTCCCCGGCTGCGGTGCGGAAGCGCTGTCCCGAGGCGCGCACTCGTCCACCAGCCCCGCCCCGCGCCGGGTGCATCGAAAACAACCACAGATAAGCCAGCCTGTCTGTGTCTTCAGGGGATACCCCCACTGGATTGGAAAGTCATTCAAAAGTCCCGCCCTGCTCGCGGGTTGGCCCACTCCTCCAGCCCATGGTTTTCTTCGTGTGTTTTATTGGGTGGCGGCCGGCCTCTTGTGTGTTCTACGTATGTTTTGTTTCTGGGGGGTTGATTTGGGCTTTAACCGCTGATAAACGTGCATCTGGTATTTCGGACACTTCCCATGTTTAGGAAAGTCCAGTAGGGGTGTCCGGGGGGCAGCACGCGGCCCGGGAGGTGGGGATGCAGGCGCCTGCGCCCCGCGATCTCGTGTGCAAGCCCGTGCGCCGCGGCCACCAAGTACCGCGTCTGGACAAGCGCGCAGCGGCGACGGCGACCCTGCCACGGCGCACGGCTGGGCCCGCACCCTTCCGTCCCTCGCCTTGTGTATCTTCGGACATGGACAGAGGTGTGATGGATTTGAGTGCATCAAAAACAACTTTTCGTCGGCCATTTTGTCTTGGCAGCGGGTCCCCGAGCCTCATTTTAGGCAGACGTCAACTTCCCCAAACCGGAGACGTTTTAAAGGATTTCTGTGCGGCCCCAAGTCCAACAGTTTCGACGCGAGGAGCAAAATATGGGTAAACAGTTGGAAGCGTATGCGTGTGTGGGGGTGGTGTCTCTAATGAAGGGCTTTCGTGTATATTCACGATGTTATCTGTGGGTTTTTATATTCATGGCGTTTCTTCTGGACAGAGAAGGTCCTAGTCCCGTTTATATTCTGGTGAACACAGATTTTCTTGAGACAAGTTCCAGGAACGGGCTTCTGAGACCTGCAGCTCAGTTCTTTGTCCATTGCCACGATGACGGATCTAGTCGTTAATTAATCTAGATTCGTTCCCCCTTTCCTGGTAGGGACCACGGGTTTCATCCCTGCCCGCACCGCCCCTCCCGACAGAGTGGGGATACTTTGACGTCCGTTGTCGTGAGTAGAAAGACCTCCACTTCTTTGAGAGCGCTTCGCGCGCGCGCGCACACACTCACCAAGACAGAATTTTCCCATGGTTACTTCCCATAATTTTTGTGCTGTTAATTTCACATTTAAAACAATTGAGCCCTCTGTATTTTGTTGTAAGGTTTAATAAATGTATACAACCCTTCCATTTCTGACCCCCCTCCCCTCCCTACCCTACCCCCATTTTGAGATGCCACCTTTATCATGGGCTAAATTCCTTGGGTAGTTGGAGTAATTCTTGGTTTTCTACTTTGTTCCTTTGATCTTCCTTGGCCATTCCTCAAGTGTGATCACACTGTTAAGTATTGTTCACAGGACTATTTTCAATGCTGAGAATACATGACCTATAGTAGGTATTAAAATAAAAATTGAATGTTTAATAAACTGAGATGTTATGACTGATAGCTGATAGAGCTCATTCCCTCTCGTTGCTCTTCTTTCTCAGAATTTCCTGGTTATTCTATTTTTTATTTCGTTTTTCCAAATGTAATTTAAGATGCTTCCTTCCACCTCTTCACCCCTCCATTACGCATAAAAACCCCTCAATACCGTATCAGTAGTTTCTTTGGGATGATGTTAGATTTACAGATTAATTTGGGGAGACGAATTTTCCTATTCAAGAACATTTTATGTTCCCCCCCCTTTTTTTTCCCCAAATACTTTGTATCTGTGGAGAATGTTTCAAATTTTCTCCAAATATATCTTCATATTTCTTATTACCTTTATTCCCGGATATTTTGTCATCTTTTTACTGTTGAAATGGCAACCTATGAGATTTAAGCTTGAGGACCAGCATCCCATAAAGTGCACACTGAAGAAGATAGCCAGTTATGGAAGGGATCTATGCCTGTCTGAATTAACAACCTCTAGAACAGTGCTGTCTATAGCCACATAAATAAGGAAAAATGAAACAGGTGAAATCAATTTTAATAGTTTATTTAACCTAATATATCCAAAAGATTCTCGTTCAACATAAAAGCAATATAAAAATATTTATGAGATATTTCACATTCTTTTTTGTTTCTCATATTATGTCTTTGGAAACTCTATGCATACAGCACATCTCAGTTCCTGCTAACCTGTTTGAAGAGCTCAGTTAGCTATATGTGGCTTGTGGCAACCATAGGGACAATAAAACTCTAGAATGCCCTCTGGTCCCTAATATCTTGGTCTTCTCTAACCTCATCTTTGGCTTAATGTTTGCATGTCAGTGTGTCAATATACTCTCTTCTGTGGCCTAAACTTTTGGTGAAGTGTCTGACCTTAAAGGATGGCTGACTGGTCCAAAGGGCATTGGGCCAATATGAACCATCAAAAATTTTCTTCCAAAAACTGGAATTGAGTTACAGAAACTGAGGTGACCTGATGTCTGGGGAACTGCCTTCTTAGACACTTGGTAGGAGAAACCGAGAGGTCTTGTGAATAAAAAGAGCAGAATGGGGCCAAGTACAGAGCAGAGCAGAGAGGAGAGATGCATAGAGGGGTGTTCTCTGGGCTCCTGACATCGGAGTTCTTGGTTCTCCTAGCCATCGGAACTCCTGCCACTGAGGTCACCTTGCTTGGCTCAGGTTGGGTCAAGTTGTAGCAACCAGAAGACTTCATTAAGACACTTCAAATAGAATCCCAGTTAGTGCTTATGGTTATGGCATAGTGAATATCCATGCTCCCTTTCTCTTTCAAATGCTTTCAAGTCCACACACCTTTGGAGTTTATATATTTGCAGTTGATCCTCACATTGAATGTCTCCTGCAAACATATCTGCCTAGGTAACGGGTGTCCTTTACTTTCAAATGAAATGTATTCATCAAAAACAAATATAATCACCCTTCTCTAGTAAGGCTAAAGGGAGAGTTCATTCGCAGAGAGCTAAAAGTTCTCATAAAAATCTCTAATTTCACCTAGACTTTAGATACAATCTTCACCAATGTTTCTTTGATTTTTGTTCCATTCCCTCACCAGTGTTCACAAAGTTGACTGGGTTAAGTCTGATACTGTAAGCCATTCATTAGACTCTAATTTGGCCGCTTTAAGAAAAAGGTCCTTGTCTTGATTTTTAGTTTATGAAGTCTAGATTTTATTTTGACATTATTAATATTACCATTTTCAATGTTCTACTTATTATGATCATATTGATAATGGCAATAATAAATTCAAATAATTGCCCAAACATGGCTGATTAGCCAGAACTGCATAAGCTAAACTGCTGATTGATAAGTCAACAATGAAGATTCATGATCTCATGTCCATGTATGACAAAAGCATGAGTAACACAGAAATTAAAGGCTACTTGTAATGCATTGTAATGCATTATGCCAAACTTTTTTTTCCTGCCCATACATAGTGCTCTCTCTCATGGCTGAAAAATATCCTATTACTTCTCATAGGGAAAGTTCTAGGTATCATTCTATGCCTAAGGGAAGTGTAGAAAGTAACTTTGGGTTGAAATTCATGCCAGAGATGAACAGGTCCAGGAGAAGCAAGATTACACATTAGAGGATTTCACAGTGGAGGGATTTAGGGCAGAGTGGGAACAATAGCATTGAGAGCTAGCATTTCCTGAGCTCTAATTTACAATGTGCCAAGTATTGTTGCTCATCACTCTACACTTATTATCAAACACCTTGTCAAGCACTTTGAGGTAGGTGTCATTAATACTGGGGATTGGTGATATCAAGAATATAGCTAGGGGCGCCTGGGTGGCTCAGTTGGTTAAGCGACTGCCTTCGGCTCAGGTCATGATCCTGGAGTGCCAGGATCGAGTCCCCGGATCGAGTCCCGCATCGGGCTCCCTGCTCAGCGGGGAGTCTGCTTCTCCCTCTGACCCTCCCCCCTCTCATGTGCTCTCTCTCTCTCATTCTCTCTCTCAAATAAATAAATAAAATCTTAAAAAAAAAAAAAGAATATAGCTAATTTCCTATCAGTGAGCCAGTGTAATTATCCTCTGTATGCTAGTGCTTTTCCTCAGAAATACAATAAGAGCTATATAGGTTATTTGACATTTTCTAGTAGCCACATTTAAAAGAGTAAAAAAACATGTAAAATCTATTTTAATAGTATATTAACTCACTGTAAGAAAGATATTATTTCAACAAGTTATCGAATATAAAAAATATTAAGGAGGGTTTTTTATTCTATTTTTCAGACAGCTCTTTGAAACCTGGTACGTAGTTTACCTTTAAAGCTCATTCTAATTTGGACTAGCCACATTTCAAGTGCATAATAGCTATCCATGGCTAGTGGCTACTATCTTGGACAATATAGCTCCATAGTAAATACTCTGGGGAAGACACAAGCAAATTCTGCTCTGTAGCAGAATCCAGATGTTTCCAAGGAAATGATTATTCTGACCTGGTCCTGAAGCCCAGAGAGCATCCTTAAGACGTGATGTGTCTTCTACTCATTCTACCCACTTCGTCTCATACCAGGCCACTGAGCAGAGGACTCTGACAATAGAAGTTAGCCAGGCCACTGCATCTCCTACCCAGCTAGCCTAATCTGTAAGACAGGAGCAACTAGATCTAAGAATCCCTTTCTGGGCAATCTGATTGATCAGAGGATATTTTGAGTGTAGGTTTGGTGTGAGATTGCCTGTCAATGATATTTAGTAGTGGTATGAATTTGGCCAATTAACTAAAATCTCTTAGGCTAAAGTTCTTCCTCTGTAAAATGGACACTGAGAGAACTTGACTTTCAGTGTTGTATTAAGAATAATATAGGGGTGCCTGGGTGGCTCAATCGATTGAGCGCCTGACTCTTGATTTCAGCTCAGGTCTTGATCTCGGCGTCGTGAGTTTGAGCCCTGAATTGGGCCCTGTGCTGGGCATGGAGCCTACTTAAAAAAAAAAGGTAAAGAATGATATATAACAATTCAGGCCTATCAGTTCATGTGGTACTTGACCCATGGAAAACTATGAATGTTAGCTATTAGACTGACTCCAATGAAAACATGGTTTTATTGTTCCTCCCATGGGGACCTCTCTAAAGGAAGATGATATTCAGTCCAGGATAGATCCCTAACACCCTGCAATATTGTCCCAGAGAACTCACATTTACACTGAAAGGGTTCAAATTGCTCAGAGTTGACTTTATATCCTCCCCACTAAGTTTTGTCCTCCTGGTATCTCTGAGAATGGTACCACCATCCAAAGCAGCAGGCAAAGCAAAGCTCGGATTATCCCTGAGGCCTACAAGTCATCCCAAACTAGCGATTCTCAACTCCTAGGGCTCTCTGCTAAGGTATGTTAGAAGAGTGGTAGGAAGGCAGGGGAAGGCCATGTATACAATTTAGAAAAGCATAGACAGTGTTCAGAAGCACATTTACCCTGAAGCTAATGAAACTCAAATGTTAGGCTCAGTACTTCAGAAGCCCTGAGAGGGGCTCTTGGGAGTGTGTTCACTTGGTCTCTCTCTCTCTCTCTTTTTTTTAAAATAATTTCAATGTTAAGATATTTTATTCATAGCTGGTTAAACCTGTTGTTTGTTGCCACGCAATCTTCCCTTTCGTATTACAATTCACCTTTTGCCTGATTATGTTGGGATACTGATGAACACATTTGGATTTGGGTAAGAGAAAATTTACTTCCAATATGTGTAGTTTAGAGTTAACAAGATATAAAATTTGCAGATGTGCTCACATATAGTTCAGTTGTTCTAGCCAATCGGATATAAGAGTGGTTTCAAGGAGTATACTCCTATTGCTCACTGACAAACTTACCTGGATTTCAGACAAGAAGATGTAGTACTAGATATCATATAATGACATCTATGTATTTGTAGCAACTGCAGTGGGAGTAAAGGTGTATAGTATGGATGAATCATGATTTGAAATGTATAGAGCTGAAAGCTAGTCCATGAAGAATCCTCCTAAATTTTACAACTCACATGTGGAAGAAGCTTGACAAAGGATTTCCCAAATTTGAAAACAGTCTTAAACATGACACTACCGATAATGTGTTTTGAAGCTGAAACTCAGTTCTAAGTTATCAAGAGAACAAAACAAATTGTGATCAATTTACCCTGGAGGAAATACTGAATTCTCTTCCCACTGTATGTATAACAAATATTCCTTTTTTTTTTTTTGGTGGGCAGCAAAGCAAGGTTAATTGAGCGATAGCACTAAGTTCCCAAGGAGGCTCGAGGCGACCCAAGAGGGTTGCCCTCCAAAATAATTTTCAAGTAAAAATGGAATCAGAGTATGCAGTCAAAAATATTCTAAGGAAAAAAAATATAGTGTTGTATTCAAGAGTTAATAAAATGTGCTATTTTTATGAACTTTGTGATGGCTATGGTTTTATTTTTGTAAAATTGGAATTTGGCTCCTCTTTCAATTATAAATTAATACTGTCTAGTTTTGTATTTTAAATTTTGAATTGTAATTATTAAGAGTTGCCAAGTTGTGTAAGTT